ACGAGACAGAAGCCATCAATTTAAATACTGCCAAAAATAATAGCGTCTTCCTGTTCTTGTATTTGAGTTTAAGACAATGCAAACACACGCTCCGTTGTTGTTTAAACACGCCTAACTTTCAGCGACACACCTCGACAAATTTCAGTAGATATTTTTGTTTATTAACATGTCGTTTACGTTGTTTATTCAGTTACTTCCTTGTCAAATGTAAAATTTTATTTTTTTTTAAATAAAATTTAAAATAAGCCCGTGCAATTTTTTATTTTTACTACAATTATAATATTTAATTTTTTATAAAAAGATATTCTCTTCAGGCGGCTTAAAATTAGTTATTTTTTAATGAAAATTAAGTTATCCGACATTAAAAATTAAAAAAAAAAATTGCATTTGCAAAAAACTTGAAAAACTATAAGTGCAATTTATGAAAATATTTTTTAGTTCTAATTTAATTAATAAAAAAAAAAAATTAAATTTAAAAAGTCGGCTAATTTTAGTATTATAATTTTTTATTAATGATCAAATAATATTAGCAATTTTTTTTTTTTTTAAGATAAACCTTTGAGCTCATTAGAAAAAAAAAAGACAAATTTGTACTGTTTTTATTTATATTAAAAAAAAAAATTTATTTACAATTAATCTTGGATTTTTTTGATAATAATATTGAAAAAAATTTCAATTAAATTGATAAATAAATTTTAGAATTACAGTATTTTTGAAGAATTTTTGAAAATACAGTCCCCAAAAACTTTAATTTCAATAAAAAAAATTTTTAAATGTCTGCAATAAATATTTAATTTTTAATAATACAAAATGACATTTTAAAAATTAAAAAAAAATTTTTTTTAATTTTTAAAATTTGTAAACTCTGATAAAAAAAAATAATATTTTAATGCAAAAAAATTTTTTTCTTTTGAATTTTTTTGATAATAATATTGAGAAAAATTTCAATTAAATTAATTAATAAATTTTAGATTTAAAACACGAGAAATTATTAAAAAAAGCTTTTACAAAAAAATCAAAGCTTCGATGCTTTTAAATATGTGCAATAATTATTTAATATTCAATAATACAAAATTATATTTTAAAAATATCAAAAAAATTGTTTTTAATTTTTAAAATAAATTAGAATTTAGAATTTGGTTTATTAATGCCAAGGCTCAGGCCAAATGGCAAATTTCATTACATAGTAAATACAATTATTACATAAGAAAACATATTAGTACCGTCTAAACTAATAAAAAATTTACTTTAGGCTTGTTCGAAGCTCTAAATAAAAAATTGACAAGGAAAAATTACAAAGCTTAGCTCCCTCTTGTCGATACCCGAAAGATAAACCTACATTAAAAAGGCGATTTTTTAGGATAATTACTCGGAGCTGTCGGAAGAAGAGCGAGACCCAATTAAAAGCGAGGGAACAAGGAAGTAGCTTTGGTGATTGAGTGTAAGGATCGCGTGTGCTCATCTATGCAAACGGTCGCCTCGGGCTGCAGCCGTATGATATGTCGTAACGGGTACGTAACTCTTGAGATCTCGATCTTTACACGTGACGCTCTCCTCCGTACTCCGGCTCTCCGGGAGGTTAACCACGTTAACCCCGCGGCGTCGACCTACGTCCAATTTAGAGTCACTCTGTGCCGTAAATAATGTAATATCGCGCGAACAGAATAAGCTTCGGAGCTTTTTTTTACTGTTCATATTGTTTTGTTATTTTTTTCACCTTGTTACGCCGTTTATCAGATCGAGGGTCTCCTGATTGTATCTGTTTTCAATTCTCAGACTCAATTTATCAATTTTGCAAGCTCCAGCTAACCCTTGATGTTAATTAATGGTGTCATATTAATTAGCGGAAAATTTATGCTCGAGTTTATTTGGGTCGTCGGGTATAATTATAATGATAATACCAATCAAGTCTAACACAAATTGGTGATATATTATTTCAAGCCATAAATCACAAAGTATTAAATTATTTAATTAGTTCTTTATTGAAAAGTTAAGAGATAGTTTTTTTAATTAATAATTAGCAAATACTTTTTTTTTTATTAAAAATTAGCAAATATTTTTTTTTAAAGATTGTTTTATGTAATTTTAATAAATAATTTTATTACAGGATTAATTATAAATTATTTAATGACCAAATTTTGAAGAAAAAAATTTATAAAATGAACAAATGCTTAAAAAACTTGAAAAATAATTTTTAATGATAAAAAAAAACCCAAATTCACCTCAAGACTTTTCTAATATTTATAAAAAATTTTTTTAATATAAAAATATTCTCGTGACAAAATTTTATTTTATTATATAATTGCTTTTTTTAAATTGTACTTTCTTAAATACTGACGTTTTCAAAGATATAAGCTCATCCCGATGTTACAATTATCAAGAGCTTTCATTTGAGTACCCATATGCATTTTTGATATATTTTTCATATATACATATATATAATATATATTTCAAAAATATAAGCTCATTCCGATGTTACACTCATCAAGAGCTTTTATTTGAGTACCCACATGCATTTTTATATATTTTTTATATATACATATATATATATAAATATATAAAATATATGAAAAATTGATGTGGGGACTCAAATGAAAGGTCTTGATGAGTGTAACATCGGGGTGAGCTTATATCTTTAAAAATGTCAATAGTTCACGAGATATAACAAAATTTCTTAATTATATTAAATTGCACTGGACTTTTTTAACTATTGAAGTTTTTAAAAAAATAAGCTCATTTCGATGTTACTCTCATAAAGAGCTTTCATTTGAATACCCACATGCATTTTGATATATTTTTCATATATACATATATATATATATATATTATATATAAAATATATAAAAAATTGATATGGG